TGTGGTGAAATTCACTTAACAACGCTCTTGCTTAACTCAGAAACTCTGGCATTTGAAGCACGCAAGTCTTAAAGCTGTCAAGTTACAAGACCCTTGCACCCCTAACCCTTTAGAAAAAAAAACCCAGGGGTGTTCAAACTTGATAGCTTTAAGACTTGTGGATTTCAACTCCCAGAATTCCTCCTTGAGTCTTGTTAGCTCAGGAAGTCTGGCATTTGAAGCACGCAAGTCTTAAAGCTGTCAAGTTACAAGACCCTTGCACCCCTAACCCTTTAGAAAAAAAAACCCAGGGCTGTTCAAACTTGACAGCTTTAAGACTTGTGGACTTCAACTCCCAGAATTCCTCCTCTCGCTCTTCATCTTGATGATGTACGGATGGGCAGGGGGAGGGAGCTGAAACCGGTTCTAAATGGCACTAGATTTGTGGAACCTCTTCTATAGAAGAGGTTATAACTGGCAGGAACCCACCCCTGCCTGGAACCCTACTCTAGAGGGCTTTAAAGATAAGTGACCAACACTTTGGATTGGACCCGGAAGCAGATCTACACCCAGTGCTGTTTGTACAACAATGGTGTTACACTGCCTCTCATCCAGAAAAAAAGATGATAAAGTCCCAGATCCTAAGGCTCCATGTATTCACAGCCGTTTTGTCTTACCAGCCTCAATTGAAGGCAGCCACGATTAGATCACCAGGGATGGAGATGTAAAGCTGTGTCATTAGCATATTGATGATAACTCATCCCATGGTGTTGGATGATTTCACCCAGCAGTTTCATATAGATGTTTTATTAAAGATTACTTTTAGTCCATTCACAACACACTTCTGGAAAACTGACTACCTTTCTTTTAGTGAGACATTTTGTCCAATAAACAAAGACCTAATCTAGAATGTAGAGTGAAATATTTTCCTATCCTTTGGGCGTGTTGTTCTGTAACCTGTGGGCTGCAATCTACTACCGGGCCATGGCCTGTTGGCCACAGGGCTGCATGAGTGGCTGGACGGTGAGCGTGCATGTATGCGCATGCACCCCCCCTCATGCTAGCATCACTGTCAGTGCCACATGGGTGCTACTGTTGCCCATTTGCATCATGCATGTGCTCGTGTCACTGTTCGTACATGCACATGCACAAGTAAAGGCCCCGGCCCCTCCTCCCCATCTCCAGGCCACCAACCCAGAAAGGTTGGGGAATTCTGCTATAAGTCACATGTGCTGAAGTGTATCATCCAGGAACTGGATGAGCTTGTTACAGGTAATATAGTACAGCCACAATTGGGTAGTTTCACAATTTTGCACACTAAGGATCATTAAACAAGTCATCACGCCACTGGGCCCAATTTTGAAAACATTTTTACGACAGTTGCTAAATGAATCGTGGCCGTTAAGTGAATCCAGCTTCCCCAATTGACCTTGCTTGTCAAAAGCTGTTATGAGTGCAAATCATGAGCACGTGACTGTAAGAAGCTGCACTCGTAAATTTGAGCCAGTTGCTAAATGCTCTTATTGCATGGGTGGTACGACGGTCATAAGACGCTTTTTTCGAGGCCAGCATAACTTCAAACTCTGATTAAATAAGTAGTCATAAGTTGAGGACTACATGTGTGAAACACCGAAGAGAAGGTGATGCAATTCCCTAATCTCTCCTTTCGCTTTTATTATAGTTTATTATAGTTTAAAAATAGTTTATATTAAAGTAGCACTATCATATGTATGTAATTTGGTTTGCATCTAAAAGATGCAAATAATTTTTGTTTTAAAACAGTTTTATTGTTTTACTAATGAGGCTTTGAAGATGGCTTATTATGCACACAAACACATAATCTATTCAGTAATATATATGTACATAATTCAGTGACAATGTGAGCTATTTAGCTGTAAATCATTTTCCAGATAACTGCTGTTAGCTAATTTACGTAAATCTGTTTGCTTTATGTCTTCTATAGCTTGCAAAAAACTTTAGGCTTGGATTCTCTGAATGATATTTTGGACACTAAACTTGTAAATCCAAAGGACATCATTCAGAATGTGTACAATGTCAACAAACAAGGAACTGTCATTTTAGAAGATAAATCAAGTAAGTGGAACTTGTTTAATATGTTATAGTTTTGCTGGAATGCCTCAGGAAACAAATATATCTTGATCACTAACCTGCTCATTCAGTGGCAATAAAGTTCTGGGACAGATCTGTCTAAAGAAATAAAAGAATTGGTGATAATTTCATTCCCCATAAAATCTATGAAACATTGATAATTCCAATTACCGTATTTTTCAGAGTATAAGACGCACCTCTTTCCCTCAAAAAAGAGGCTGAAAATCTGGGTGCGTCTTATACACTGAATACAGTGTATAAGACGCACCCATTTTTTGCCTCCCAAAACCCCACCCCCTTCACCAAAATGGTCGTAGCCTTTAAGAGCCTTGCAGAGTGTTCCTGGGTGATGGGGAGGGCAGAAATGAGCAAAAAAATGGACAACCCTGCAATGCTCCTAAAGGCTATGCATGCCCTTTTTTGACCAAAATAAAAATAAAAAAAATGGGCCAATTTTTGCGAAAAATGGGCTGTTTTTGGAAGGTCTGCAGAGTGCAAAAACTTTTTTTTAAAAATTGCCTCTTCAAAACCTTGGTGCATCTTATACTCTGGTGTGTCTTATACTCTGAAAAATATGGTACTCTTTGCTCTCTTTCCTTGTACATGCCCGCCCCCAACTCTTAATTAATTCCAGGGCTGAGCACAGCACACCTAAATGGGAATGGGGGACAACCAGGGGTGGGATTCAGCCGGTTCGGAACAGTTCAGGCGAACTGGATGCTAATTTTATATCTGGTTCGCCGAACCGGTAGTTGCAAGGACCGACTGGCCCCTTCCACTCCACCCCATCCTTCCTAGGAATCTCCATGTGGCCTGTTTTGGATGCCAGGTAAGTGCAGGTTCCGGCCCCTGGGAGGGTGTAAAACGGGCCTCCTAGAGTCTCTGGAGGGCCTCTGGAGCCTGGGGGGAGGGCAAAAATGGCCAACCCCGCCATGGTTCAGGAGGCCGAGTAGATTTCCTTTAAAAGGAAACTATTATGGCTCATCTCTTAAAGCTCCATCTGTCTCTAGTATTCCTCAGTGGCTACATAACCCTGCTAGGAAGGGTCATCAGGAGATTTGGAACACAGTATGCTCAAGAAATAGCTTTCCATAATCTATTCTGAGGACAGTATGGCTTCCACGATAGCGCAACTATAGTTAAAAAGTGGCTGGATGAGGGATAATAAATTGAAACTGAATCCATTACATGTTGTATGAGTTAACTTTCTGCAAATACGTTTCACTGCAGTGTTCACTGTTGAAATGATAAGCAGCATCCTTAGTGAAACTGAGTGTATTCATTTGGGTTGTACTTTTAAAAAAATGTTCTTTATTACATAGAGATCATCTCTGTGCACCAAGAAATAGAGTGCTTATTATCTTATTATGATTAAAAGTTATTGCTTTCTCTTACAATCTTATTACTGGTACTGTTTTTGTACTCTGAAATCGTTTTCCTCAACGCCTACATGAATCCCTCCTTAGCTGATCAATGAGCAGCAGCCTATAAAGACTCATATAATTCACTTGATATATAAAAACTAAAGGGGACAAATATTAATCCTTCTTTGGGGAGAATCATAAAATCTTTAAAGAAATGCATGCCTGCAGTTGTAATTTAAAACCCAATTTCTTTTGTATAATAATTTCTAACATATTAAACCACTTTTTAAATTGTTTGATGCAGAAGAAGTTCCACATTGGGTTCTATCGGCAATGAAATGCTTAGTGAACTGTGAGTATTTTTCTAATTTTATTTCTGTATGTCGTTTTGGAATTTACACTTTCACATTGACTTCAGTAAAGAAGAAACCCCTCATTCTTTTTTTAATAAACCAGTTTTGATTAAATGAATCTGTTTTCCATCATAGTTTTTCTAATAACAATATGATACTTTCTGCAACAGAGCTGGGAGGAAATCAATCTGCCACATAGCATGTCTCATTCTCATCAACCATTGTTCCAAAGGTGCAGTTTATTTGAGTGGAATATTTTCTGAGGAGTGGTCTGGCGATGGGATGAATACAGGTCCTCGACTTAATGCATTAAATTACATTTAATGACATTTCAAAGTTACAACGTGAAAAAAGGGACTAAGGACGACTTTTTACATTTACAACCATTGCAGCATCCCCATGGTCACATGCTCAAAATCAAACATTTGGCAACTGACTCATATTTATGACAGTTACAGTGGTCCCCCTTTGCAACCTTCTGACAGGTAAAGTCAATGGGGAAGTCAGATTCCCCTAGCAACTGGGTTACAACCTCTCAACTGCAGTGATTCACTTTCCAAGGCAAAAAAAGTTGTAAAACGGGGCATAATTCACTTAACAAATTTATCACTTAGCAACAGAAATCTTGGGCTCAATTGTGGTCATAAATAGAGGACTACCTGTATTCTTTTCACTGTCTCTGACCCTCAGACACTAGGCTAGTCCTCTTCAACGCCCTTGAATATTTAAGGTTACTGAGGAAAGCAGGATGAATCTGCTGAACTTTCTAAAAGTTGCTAATACACGCGAAGAATAAATTTCCTTTTATGTCATAATATAGATAATAATGCTAAAAGACTAAGTTTAATTGGTTTCTTCAAATTCTTCTGAGGAAAAAATTCCTGACAGTTGGAACAATTAATCAGTGGAACAACTTGCCTCCAGAAGTTGTGAATGCTCCAACACTGGAAGTTTTTAAGAAGATGTTGGATAATTATTTGTCGGAAGTGGTGTAGGGTTTCTTGCCTAGGCAGGGGGTCGGGCTAGAAGACCTCCAAGGTCCCTTCCAACTCTGTTATTCTATTCTATTGTAAATTGAAAGTGTCAGGTGGATTGCACACTTTTTAAATATTGGTATTGTGACCTTCCTATAACAGAGTATACTTTCCTTACTCAAAGGAAAGTGATCCTTTCATTCCATGTCTTACTTAATTTCACACATAGAAGCAATTGGGATTTGATAATAAATAGAATGCAATGTTTTAAAGTTTTTTGGAATGGCCATATTGCGCATGGTGGATATATGAAAGAAAAAAATACTGAAGAAGGTATGTTTGTAAATTGCTTCATGCTATAATTTCAGGTAGTATGCGTATATTGTTCTTAGTTGTAGTCATTCTCTACTATTAGAAAGCCCTTTCAATTGTTCCTCATGGTTGGTTACTCTTCGTGTTAAAAGATAATCTGTTTTAAATCAGGGATTATCTATCTGGAGGAGCCAGGAAATAAGGATTAAGTTGAAGCGCTTTCAAAGAGATAATTCCCTGGGTCTATTCTGCAGTGGTTTGGCTGAGAGAAATCTGTACTGCAAACATTTAAAACCACCAATTTGTTTAGGAAGTTCAAAACTACCTTGAAATTACAAATTTATGAATAGACAAGATTGCACAACAAGTTTTTAGAAGGACAGTACATTAAGTCCTTGTTAACAGTTCAATCACTATTTTCATTCATATACCTATGTGACAGCATAGTATTGTCGTTGCCGGAACATCATTTCCATTGAGGTATGGTTGGCCCGCACCCTGTTGCTTTTCTAAAAGCTTCTAAAAATGTGTTTTTTCTCAGTGGACCTGACGACCACAAATCTGGATGGAGCCAATCATGTGGCTGATTTGATTGTGTTATTGTTGCCATGGAGGTGGTGTGGGTTTTATTTAATAGGTTTTTATTCTCTGGTGGACTTTTACAATTTTGTAAGCCACTCAGAGTCAGCTATGTGCGAACTGGGCAGCTGTACTTTAATAAATTAAAACAAATAGAATTTTCATTATGACTACACATGTAAATTAGTGTCATTTCTGCCACCTGTATAATCCAACCAGGATATTTTTTTTTCATTCTACTTTCCCCCTTTCCATTCATTTTAGGGCCCAGATATCCAGATCTGAAACATCCCACCTACTCAGGTTTTGAAAGAGATGTCTTTAGAACCATAGCAGATTATTATGCACACATGAAGGAGCCTCTTCTCACTTTCCAGTTCTTTGATGTTTTTGTCAGTGTGCTGGGTAAGTTATGCTATGAAAAACACATATCTGGCAGGCTGAGTGCCCAGTGCTTGTGCAGCAAAACTTTATTGCTCTCCTTCAGCATCTTTCGTAATGAAAATGACTCCTTCTAGAACTTGATAGTTTGAGAATAATTGTTGTTCAATGGATGTACATCTAACAGGACACCTAAACATTTCTTTTTTTAAAAAAAATTGAACTTTCAGGATCCGCAATTCAGACATTACAATCCTTCTTTAAGAAGGCAAGCTTCCTAAAGGCAAACCTCAGCAATGCAAATAATCTTGAGGCAGTTTATTCAGAGATTTGCCTGGGGTGCATTTAAAGCAGGGGTGTCAAACTCACATCATCATGTGACATATCAGGACTCCCCCCCCCTTTGCTAAACCGGGCGTGGGTGTGCTCAGCACGTGACACATCTGGTCTGCAGGTTTGACAGCTCTGATTTAGAGGAAGAATCTAACCTACTTTGAGCAGACTGGGGATTACTTCACAGCAGTAAGGGCAAAAAAATTTCAATATTTCCCCACCCTTAGTGTCTACTTTTTAGAGAAATTGGTCCCTTTTGGGTAGGGAGAGCCTCTTCAAACAACTGATGGTCCTCTGTGAGGATCTGATGGGTGGGGGACTCTTCAGATTCTCTGTGCCTTGGACTTTGACTTGGCCGAGCAGGCCGAGGTAGTCTGATTCATGGTCTGGTGATATGATCTGGAATGAGATTTGGTTGATGACACCGGAGGAAGTAGGCAGGAATCTTTGCTATGAACTCAACCATCTGTTTACTGGATTTGAGACCTCCTTGGGTTAAGCAATTAAGAAAGTGACCTGCAGTTAGATTCATGCTATAATATCAGCCTCTTTCACAAGGGAGTGGGAGCCCGCAGCTTTGAAAGAGGCATCGGTCATTCCTTCTTCAACAAGATGACTTTCGCTCCAATACTTTTGGGGAAAGTCATTGAAAAGGTAGTTGATTTTGTAGCTGATGAGAACGCCGGAGGAAATGCATTATCTAAATGTCAGGTTTCATGCTGGGATTTAGCACTGAAACGGCTTTGGTTGTGCTGATAGGTGATCTGTGGTGGGATAGTGGCAGTGCATCCATTGTGCTAATTGGTGACTTTCAATGCCATCAATCATGGTATCCTTCTGAGCTGCCTTTACTTTGTAGGTTAGAGATTGGGCCTCCAGTTTATGATGGTTCTCTTCCTTTCTCTGAGACAGTTACGGTCAGTGTTTCAGGGTGAAAAGAGCAAGACTTTCCTTTGTTGGTACTATAGAGTTATCTTTCTCTTTCCCCTTCTTTTCAACATCTGCATGAACCTGCTGAGTGAGGTTATCCAGTAGTTTGGGGTTTGATATCATCAGTACCCTGATCATATCCGTGTATATTTTTTGAGTCCAGGCTAACCAAGTGAGACAGTTGAGGTTCCAATGCCTGTAACCAGTGCAAATTTGGATGGGAAGGAATTGTGTCCAACTCAATCCTACCAAGATTGAGAGACTGGATTTTCAAACAGATCAGATCTGGGAATATTTATATTTGACCTTAAGATGGAATGGCAGTTCCCCATTAAAGGAGGCATGTAATTTAGGGGTTGTCTCCCATAATATCTATCCCGCCAATGTGATCTGGCAAAATTGGCATACTCTGGGTTTCTTCCATTAAACAATGCCATCTACTGGGACCCCAGAAGCAGATCTTCACCTAGTCCTAGCTTGAGGGTAATTAAAGCCCCCCCCCCTTTGTACCACTCCACTTTTGTCAATTTTGTCTTTGTAGCTGTTGTTGCTCTTTTTGCTTTCTTGCTTTTAAATATTTTTAGTATTTGTAAACTGCCCAGAGTCCCTGAAATTGTGTGGCAAAATTTCACAATAATTGCTTCAAAACCATTATCTTCATGGCAGAGACAGTTCAGCAATACCATAAAACATAACACCTTAAACATCTTCTTTGATTGTTCTGATTAACCCTATAATTAGCATATTTACATCCTATGGTTTTTCAGGAATTTTGTTGATCTTATTGAATAATTTCAGTAGGGTGGTACTCTTTTAAGAATTAGTATCACTTCTTTCTTTTGTAAACAAAAAGTTCTTTTATTTCCCACTAAAGTACATTTTATTTGTTTGGGTGGTAAGCAATTTTATACAAGTCAAAAAGGGAGCAAGAAATCATAAACCAAAGACTACTTTATACCAGTAATGTTCACTATTCTTCTCTCAACTTCATACATTGCCTTTATTCTTTTAAACTTCATTGCTTTTTGTTTGAGGACTTCAACAAAATAAAAGTTTCTTAGTCTTTTGACCTAAGTGGTACATGCAGCATACTGACACACATTCAAGGGATCTGTGTATTGACACTAACATCATACTTAGACATATACACAAATGTTCTGCCTTTATTTGTGCTGTTGAAGTGTTGGCAAAGCAATTGTCGTCATGGAAATGACTGTTACCTGATTGTCATAATTCCCCATCCTACCTTTCCATAACATTTTGGACAAAATTTAACACAGAAAGATTTGTGTGAGAAATGTTGGAAACTGTTAATAAATACAGTTCAACAATGGTAGATAATTATCAGTCTTGAAAACCTCACCACTATTTTCAAATATACGTTATGTAGACAATAATTAAATACCAGACAATTTCAGAATGACAGAAGAACCAGTTTGGTAACCCTCATTGTTTCTATTCCAGCTGCAGAACTGTTAGCCATTCTAATTTATGCCTTAAAATGAACAGTTATCTTGGGATCTTGTTCCATGGATAGCTAGCTTTTCTATTTTGCCATGTGCTAAATTGATCTCCCATCACACCAGATTCATAAGCCAAGCTTTGGCCTAACTTGGATTTGACTCTCTTTCTCCTCACAAGGCAGGCTGTTTCTACTAGTTACGGTTTGTTACTACTTAAAAGTTTGTAAACTTTTGCATTTTCAATATTTCTACATAAATATGATCTAAAACGCCATCTACACAAGTCCTAAAACTCAATAAAGAGAATCCAATTCAACTTTTGAGTGAAAAACATACTTATTCAATGATTTATTGAAGTAAATGATCCAAAGTTAGATACTTCTGTGTGGCAAGTATGTGAACCTTTGCTTTCAGTCACTGATATTACCCCCGTTGGGCAAAAATAACTGAAACTAAACATTTAACATAATAGTTGATCAGTCCTGCTTGGAGGAATTTTAGCCCCTTCCTCCATTCTGACAGCTTCAACTCAGGAATGTTGATAGTCTTGCTTCCGTGAAATGCCCTCGAGAACAAATAACTTTCTTCTGCTTTAACCATTTTTTTGATCATATGATCTATGTATTTGGGGTCATTGTCTTGCTCGGGACCCATTTTCTCTTGATAGTCAGTTAATGGAGAAATTTTCATATTTTCTTGCTAAATTTGCTGATAAAATTCAGAATACATATTTTCCTCTATGATGGCAAGCTATCCTGGTCCAGAGGCAGCATAGCAGGAACAAACCTGATACTGCCACCCGTAGTTTCACAGAGATCTTATGCTGGAATACAAAAAGTTTACGTTTTGCCAAACATAATGCTTTTCTTTCAAGCCAAAGAGTTCTAGTTTGGTCTCATTCATTTACAAAACCTTCTACTAGCTTTCTAACTTATCCATGTGGTGTTTCACAAAATGTAGGCAGGCAGCAATGTTCTTTCTGAAGAGTTGTGGCTTTCTTCTTGCAACCCTGCCAAGTGCACCATTGCTGTTGAATGTTCATCTAATGGGGGTCTCCTAAACAATGACATTTGCCCATGCAAGAGAAGCCTTTAATTCCTTAGACATCACATTGGGCGTTTGAGGGACCTCTGGAGTATTAACATGCCTTTTTAGGCTGTTGTTTTGATGATAAGCTGTAACTTGGTTTGTTTTATTTTGAAGCTTTTTATTGGTGAATCCTTACACTGGTTTATTCAGAGAACAAGGATTAATCAAATCATGATTTAGTATAGCACTGAATCAGATCTGTACATTTCATGCCACAGGAAAGATATGTATTCCATTTTTTTCAGCAGCATGGCCATTTTATATAGAAAACTTATCCAAGTAGGATAATCTAGGAATAAGCATAAAATACTGTAGATAACTTTTTAAAATTGGAACATAACCATCCACGTTGCTAGCTACTCTCAGAACTATTGACTTGAGTTTCCTTGTAATGAAATCTTATATGGAGTCTAACCTCAAAAGAAAATTTGCTGAATGAACACTCCTGTTCTGTAAAAGTTTGCAACACTTGAAATTACCGAACTTGAAGTTGGAACAGCCAATTTCACTGCTGTTTTCTGGGATAGGTCTGTTCAAAATGACCATTTTTTTCTTCCAGCTGAGAATATGCAAAATAGCATTTCTAAACTCAAAATATTTTATATAAATCTTTTCCTGTGTTATGGTTTCATGACTATAAAACCTCACAACTCCGGCAACTGGGAGAGAATGGCAGACAGCAGCATTGCAGAGGCTCCTACTGCTGCCCACAAAAGCATGGCTGAGCCCACCCAGGGACTACTCTTAGCAGATCAGGCATCCTGCCCCCCAGTAGAGACTACTACTACATAAGCTGACTAAGGGGGAAAGGCCAAGGATAAGGCCTCCTCCTCCTCCTCACGCAAGGGCTCGAAGGCCAAGAAAGACTCCAAATCCGGGGACAAAAATAAACACAAAGATAAACTGGCATTGACCGAGGCACCCTGAAAAAGGGGAGGCACCACCCTCCCGGCTCTGCCACCATTACAGCTGGACCTTGCCCAGGAGCCTTTCAGCCCAATGCTCCCCATCAACACGTCTGCCCTTTGGGGCGACGTGGGGCCGTGAACACTGAGTAGAGCCCCCAAGGCTACCTTTACCCCAACAGCGGCTGGGCTTCCGCACGAGGGACAATTGTCAACCTGGCCAAGTTGGCCCCCAATGGTCATGGTGTCACGCTCATTGTGCATTCAAGATTTTTTGGCAGAACCATCCAACCTGAACCTGAATTCCAACAGAAGGCACAGCCTCCACAGGCCACTGCACCCCCCCTGCCCCCCCTTGTTTCACAGGAAGGGGTTGACCACCTCCCCATTGGAACCACAGTGTAGCCCATCACCAACATCTGAGGAGGGGGAGATCAGGGACGCTGACTTCTCAGAGGAGGAAGGAGCTACCCCAGATAAGCCTATATACACCGGCCTATTTCCTCCTGCGCTGTTCAAACCGCTACTGAGCAAGGCCAAGGCTGCTTTTGCCTTGGAAACCCCGACAGGTCTCCATGGCCTCTCCACCGCAGCTGGCCACAGCCAGCGTTCTATTTAAGGAGCACAAGTTGGAAGCCAATGTCATACCAGCTCCTCAACTTTTTGTGGACGCATTGCAGAGACAGTGGTCATCTCCGACATCCGGACCCAGTCCCTCTGTGAATGATAAGTGATTCTACAATGTCGATGAACAGCTGGACAAGATGCTTCTATGGCCAATGGTTGATCCCCCAATTGCAGTCCTATTCATCGCCCCAGCTATGCCAGGATCCCAGGAAGACATCCTTAAGCCTGAGGATTGACGGGCTGACCAAGTCCTACAGCGGGGTCATCAGGCAGCTGCCTGGGCGGTGAGGGCTACTTCAGCGGCCTCGTTCTTCTCAAGATATAGCCTTTTTTGGCTGCAACAATTACAAGAATGTACTCCTGCAGTAGACTCTAGGACTTGAATAAAATAATTGCTGTGGTGCAATTTACTTCAGATGCCACCCTGACCACCACCAGATTTTTCTCCAAGGCCATGGCCTCTGTGGTGACTTCCCTCAGACTCTTATGGCTACAGCAGTGGCAAACTGATCTAAAACATAAATGGAAGCTAGCCTCGGAGCCTTACAAAGGGAGGGGGGCTTTTTGGGGATGTACTTACTCCGCTGCTTGTCGAAGGCAAAGACAAGCATAAGGTTCTTCCCTCAAACCCCAAGAAGGGATTTACTCGCCCGGCCCCTTATCCTAGAAGGCAGCCCTTTCGAGCCCAGGAGTATGGGGGGGGGGTGTCATTTAGGTATCCAGATTATTCCCCCTCGGGCTTCTGCCCCCAAACTGGCTACGGCCAGCGATCACGGCAGCAGTTGTACCGGCAACAGAGGGGCAATCAGTCTCACCGGCCCTTTCAGGGAGGCGATGACCACAACTACCTCAAACCCTAATCTGGCTGAGGATGGGCCTCTCATTGGCGGAAGATTGTAATATTTTGCTGACCAGTGGGAAGCCATAACGTCCAATTCCTGGGTCAGGGACATGGTCAGGTTTGGTCTGGCCGTGGAATTCATCTCTACTCCCCCCAAGCTCTTTGTTAGGTGCCCAATCTCTGGTAACCCCCCAAAGGCACCTCCTGATGGGTCGGGCCATCCAACATCTCCTAGATATTAAATGCCATTCAGGAAGTTCTTACCACATAGGTCTCAATTTTGTTTGTTATTCCCAAGGCCTCACTGGGCTGGAGGGCCATTTTGAATTTTAAAAAGTTAAACTGTTACGTCTGTTATAGTTGTTTTAAGATGCAATCACTAAGTACAATTCTGGAGGGTGTCCGAGATGGGGATATGCTTCCTACTATTGATCTCATGGAAGCCTACCTGCATGTTCCCATTTTGCAGGAGCACCGTCAGTTTCTTCACTTTTGTTATGATTCGCACCACTATCAATACACGGCTTTGCCTTTTGGCCTTTCTTCCACGCCCCGCGTGTTTACTAAGGTTTTGGTGGCCCTGGCTGCATACTTACGCACCATACCTATCAGGGTTCAACTCTACCTAGATGACGTCTTGGTTCAGTCGAGCTCCCAGGAGGCAGCCGATCTTGCCATGGCATTGCATGTGTTTCAGGCCCATGAGTTTTCCATTAATGAGGGCAAAAGCCATTTCACACCTACCACCAGAATTCTTCACCTGGGGACCTGGATAGATTCGGTGAGCAGCCAGGTCTTCCTCTCCGAGGATCACATACGTAGTCTGCGGTCACTCGTGGCCGAAGTGAGGGCTTCCCGAAGTGCGACTCTCGCCACCTTATCCAAGTTACTGGGGAAAATGATCTCTGCCTTATGTATCGTTCCCTGGGCTCGCCTTCACATGAGAGATTTACAGTGGTTCTTACTCCCCTTTCAAAAGAAGAGGACTAGTATGTCAATTGTCAAGGTGTCCCTGCGCAGGGGCCTGGTCAATTCCCTCCATTGGTTGGAATTGGGGGCCATAGAGAGGGGTTGTCATTTCAGAGTCCTCCACAGGGTCACTATCACCACGGAGGCCAGCCTTTATGGCTGAGGTGCACACATGGGGCCTCACATGGCACAGGGTCAGTGGTGCCAGGAGGAGGCAGAGTTAATATAAACTGGTTAGAACTGCGGGCTATCAGATTGGCTTTATTGAGTTTCCAACACCTCATTGAAGGTCAACATGTGTTGATCCTCATGGATAACACAACTGCCAAGGCCCTTGTTAACAGCAAGGGGGCACTAGATCTAGGGATCTGATGCTAGAGGCTAATACATTGGGTTCTTGGGTGGAAGGCCATCTGCTCTCCATTGGGGCAGAACACAGGGAAGGCTAATGTGTCAGCTGATTGGCTCAGCAGTTCTAGGATTGGCCAGGCAGAATGGCAATTACACCCTTCTCTCTTTCAGGAGATTGTACAGCAGTTCGGGGACCCAATAATAGGCCTGTTGACCTGTTTGCCTTCCAGTACAATGCCCAACTCCCCAGATTCTTTTCGAGGTTCCATGCACTGGGAGTGGAGGGCGTGGATGCCTTCCACTGCCCCTGGCCCAGGGGTCTTCTGTATGCCTTCCCCCCAGTACCTCTACTCCTCAGGGTGATCTGCAAGATTATCAGTGTAGGAGCAGAGCTCATCCTTCTGGCACTCTACTGGCCACGGAGACTATGGTTTGCCGACCTTCAGGCATTGTCAGCGGAGAGACATTGGATAATTCCAGTGGACAAGGTCAGACTTTGCCAGGGATCACTAGAACACCTGGAGCCGCAGTGGCTTTAACTGACCGCCTGGCGATTGAACGGCAAGCTCTCCAGAGGGGTGAACTCTCTTCTAAAGTCATAGGTACCATCCAGGCGTCTAGGAGACTGTCGACTGTGCACATTTATAATGCCACCTGGAAGACTTACTGCATTTGGTGTCAATCCAAACGCATCATCCCGCTTGAATCTTCCATCTCTAAGGCCCTGGAATTTCTCCAGGATGGTCTCGAAAAAGGGTTGTCTGCTAATACGATCAGGAGACAGGTGGCAGCTCTTAGCACAATACTCACCTGGGGGGAGGGACAGCCTCTTTCACATCACCCATTGGTATGGAAGTTCCTGAAAGGGGCTTCCAATCTGCGATCTCCGGAAGTACATCATTACCCTTCCTGGAACCTCACGAAAGTATTGGAGGCACTTACCGGGCCTTTCTTTGAACCTCTGCGGGAGCTTCCCATGCGAATACTTACCTGGAAGATCACATTCCTGGTAGCGATAACATCCACTAGGAGAATATTGGAATTACACACCCTTTCAGTGAGGGGACACCTGTGCAAATTTTATCCTGACCGGATGGTGCTGAAGCTAGACCCCTTGTTTATGCCAAAGGTGGGGTCCTGGTTTCATAGGGCTCAGGAGGTCATCCTTCCCAACTTCTGCCGCTCCCTGATTCATCACTTAGAAAGACAGTGGCATACATTAGACGTCCGTAGGGCGCTCGAGATTTACATTCAGCGCACGGTGAGCCTACGGTGCTCAGATACACTGTTTGTGTCCTTTTTGGAGCAATCATTGGGTCAGAAAGTGTCAGTGGCTACCATAGAATGTTGGGTACGTAAGTGCATCGCAGCTGCCTATGAGGCACGCCAGGAATTGGTGACGAACGGGGTTACCGCCCACTGTACTAGGAGCGTGGCTACCACCACGGCATGGCCCACTTAGGCATCTGGACAAAATATATAGAGCCACGGCGTGGGCGTCACCTTCACCATTCATTAGAAATTATAAATTATACAAGTTCGCATCAGCAGATGCTGCATTCGGACGCAGGATTTTACAGACTGTAGGTTCTCAATGTTTCAGTGCGGAACAGTATACAGCCCATCCTTGAATTAGCCAGTCTTGGGTATGTCCCATTCATGGATGCTATCTCCATCCTTATTGAGAAAGGGTGTTGGTACTTACCTGATACTCCTCTTCTAATAAGGTGGAGATAGCATCCGGCCCACCCGTGTAGGAGTACTGTTCCTTCTGGTTATTGTGGTCAAAATATTATTCTGATCGATGGTTGAGAGAGTTTGAATTTTTCTGGTTAGTGTATTGAGTTGAGTACCAGTAAATTATGGTTGGATAACACGTTGAGTCTGTGATTCTTTACTTCGCCAGAAAGCTAGGTGGGGACACTCACAAGGCAGGTTATATAGGCTGATAATTAATTAATACAGACTCAGTCCAATCAGCACACGGACTGTGTTAACCCATTCATGGATGCTATCTCCATCTTATTAGAAGAGGCATATCAGGTAAGAACCAATGCCCTATCTCGGAGGCCTGGAAATAATTCTTAATTAGCATAAAATTTGAGGACAAAATGGCTTAGATTCTCTTCCTCTTCAGGTTGTCAGAAAGTATAATCTTAATTTATTTACAATATTATTTTGTATTATAGTTATGTTATTTACAAATATTACTTTGTAAGCATAATAAAAACATTCCCAAGAAAAGATCAGTAGGCAGGCCTTAAATGCTTTTGGGTGATGAAAACAACTTAGCTTGAATCTTTTAATGTTGGGTACCGACATACTTTTCGGTTTCCTTACAGCTTGTATTTTGAATGCCAAAAAATGAATTAACAAAGTGAATGATAAAATTCTCATTTTAAGAGAAACTCGAGGTTGAACATTTAAAAAAATAATACTTAACACCTTTTAAAATCATGTTTTGATCCAGGAATCTTGCAGGAAAAGAAGCTAGCTACTGAAGCATTGCAGATTTCTTGTCTTCTTCTGCCACCAGCAAATCGGCGAAAGCTACAGTTGTTGATGATGCTGATGGCTAAGATACAGTCAAATAAAGATCTTCCACCTCTTTCAGATACACTTGGAACAAGAGCAATGGTGTGTGTCTACCGGAAAAAGAAAAATATTATGAAATCACTTTAGAATTGCTCTGGGGGAGACTCTATTTAATGACTTGTTCTAGAAATAGTAGTAATCTGTACAATGCAGGGTGTGGTTTGCAATATTCTCTTGTCTCTTTCTGCCAGTATAACTCTTAAGTCAAATCCCGAGGCTGAATTTCCTTGCTAAAGTGGATGAAAGTTGATTCTTCCCACCTATTTCTCACCACAGTCCTTGTAACTTTTTTTTACACTGCTTGTTCCGTGACGTGACTGGGTTTTTTAGATTTATAACCCTGTCTTAATGGGTATATGAATCAGTGGGTCCAAGAATTGATATTAATCAGTGTGATAGCAGGCCTCCAGTATCAGTATCGGATCAGTTTATAAATACTTAAATCATTGAGTTTGGAGGAATCTTAAAAGTCACATAGCCTCTGGCTGAATACATGACCTGCAGTACAAGATGTAGTAGCAACTTCCATCATTTACGGGATAACAAATAACACATTCAGTATATATTGTGAGACCTGATCTCATTGATGTCCTCTCTCTCCTCTGTTTCAGATGGTTCAAACTTTTTCTCACTGCATTCTTTGCTCCAAGGATGAAGTAGACTTGGATGAACTCTTAGCAGCTAAATTGGTATCATTCATGATGGACAATTATCATGAGATCTTAAATGTTCCTTCAGCCTTAAAAACTGCAGTTGAGGAACATATAGCTCATCTCCAAAGAGTCCAGGTGAGACTTATGGGGTTGAATTTTATTCTCCTGTATAAAACATTTTTAGTATATTTTGAAAACCCACCTAAATAAGCAGATTAAAGTTTTCTTTGCAGAATTGCTCTTATCCCTCCTTTAGTTGACAGCACATTATATGAACGCATGTAAATTAGGTGGTTGTGTGTGAGTTTGGAAGTAGGAAATCAGGGGATGGTAATAGTTCCGTGTTATATTACAGTGAATGGTGATAATGGAAGAACTAGATATGAGTTCTGAGTAAATTATGCAATGCTCTGAATGACTATGAATGAATAATTGTCCTAATTGGCAGAGACGTTTGGGTGGGTACAAAAGGCATTCAGAAATTCAAGAAAGGGAAAGGTGACAGTTTGATGAATATCTGTTTAAAGGAAACAATTTAGTTTCAGGTATGCGGTGTAAGCAATAACTTATTCATAGATGCACATGGTTAAGAAATGAATATAGTTCTAAGAGTAAAACAAACAAAAGATTGAGATGATTAGTAAAGGATTCAATGGTGATGATAATTTTCTAAATTTGAAACAGTCCAATTTTTTGGGTAGAATTAAGGGTGGATTGAGGGGAGGATGGACATGGCAAAAAAGGAAACAAAAGAAGCAAAAGGGAAGTTACATCAACTTCAGGAGGAAAACATACGAGTCCTATATGAGAAAATAGATTAATATCTCAAGGGATGAGATGAAAATAGATCTAAGAAAAGAGAATGTAACACTGTTAAGAAGAGAGTAAAAACAAACATGTTCGGATTACCAGAGAGTTGTGTGGAGTTATGCTAATGGGATGTAAGTTATCTCATGAAATATGAAGTGCAATAGTGAAGTGAAGGAAGCCAGGGATTAAGAAAGGACACGCACATATAAATAAGAGAATGATTTCTGAACAATAGAGAGAAAGATAGAGCATAAAATGTGTGTTGAAAAAAAATAGTTGCAAAGAATGTAGTAGTCTCAAGAGAGCATGAAGCAGTTAATAGTAAAAGAGCCAGAGAAAACTCACAACAATTTCAATGGAAATGTACGATGTATAAATAGGTGAAGAGATCTAAACAAAAAGCCTCAGGTTAAGTGAATAGAATTTCAACAATTAACCCATAGATCGCCCACAATTATTTTATTGACCAAATACTGTTGAAACAAAACAATTTGATGACTCTGAATGACAGGAGATCAGAATCATACTATAAGGTCCCAGAAGTTTCCCCCAGCCACTGAGATGCCAAAGAGAGTGAGACTCAAGACGAGGCTTGCAAGAAATAACAGCTTTTTATTTGAGACTAGGTGAATACTATATCCAAAACATACAGACAAAATGCATGTAAGGAATAGTCACACCCTTGTGAGAGTGGCTCAGAGTATTATATACATTTTATGCCGAAACAAAGTTTACTCAATCAGAGACAAAGATTTGTTACTAAAAGTGTTCTTTGTTCAGTCCCCTGTCTCTGTCCACCTTATTTATGGAGCATTCTTATAGCCTTGTGTAGGAGTGGCCCATCCCCGTCCTGTCCCCCTCCCGGCCAAGTGGTTTATTCGGCAGAATGTTTTCAGAGTTCAGAATTTATCAGGAAAACTCCCTACTCTGGTTCTTTTATCTATGGGGTCTGATATTCCTAGGTAACAGTTTCTTCTATATTTTCAAGGATGTGCCTCGCTTTGAAGCCAAGAATAGAAGCGAGAACCAGAAGTGAGATAACAAATTTTGTACTGATGCCAACCAGTATTAAGGTTACAATTTACTAAACTAGAATTAGTTCCTAACAACTAATTTCTGACAGTATACAATGTAAGCAGGAGTCAATAACAAAACTCAATTCCTAACCAATGACTTCTAGCAGTATATCAAACAAACAGCAGATATTGGTTTAATCAGTAACAATTATATAGTAGCATAAGCAACTCATAATAAAAGCAAATAACCAATATTGATTCATATACTCCTTCAATACATACCACTCATGGGAGTGTATTCCAAAATGTGAGGCTATCACTAATAAGCCCTGATGGTGCCTATATACTTACATCTCACATAGGGGGAAACGTTCAAAGGTCTTTTCTAAATATTTGAACTGGGTGCATTTCCTGATAAATCCTACTCCACACCACATAGGATTTTATATGTAATTGTTAGCATTTGTATCTGGAAGCAACACTGCAGTGATCTCAAGATAAGAGCAATTCCACCAGAACAAGTTTTTCTTGCTAACCAACTGGTCACTATTTTACATTAATTGCAGCTCATGGCTTATCTTCAAAAGCAACCACATAAAACGCATTGAAGTAGTTTAATTGTGCAATGATCAGGGTATGAGTTATTATCACAAGGATTTCATAGTCCAGGTACAGTCATGACTGACACACTAATTACAGCTGAGCTGGGCAAAGGTCCCCTGGCCATGACTTCTCTTTCATAACATGGAATGACGGAATACTGGGAAGAATATTTTAGAGATTTGTTATAGAGCTATTAGGGAAGTTCAAGAGTGCAATTAAGGTGGATGCTATAAATGATTAGTGTCCAAGAAAAAAAAAGTTGCAGGGATGAATGCAAGAACATCAGGGTAATGAACTTATTAAATACTGCTATGAAGATGTTTCTCAGAATTTTAATTAAACACAAAAGGTGACAGTAATCAAAAACTGGGAAGTGCTGTTCAGAGGTGGTGTTCAGCAGGTTCTGACCAGTTCTGGAGAACTGGTAGCGGAAACTTTGAGTAGTTTGGAGAACTGGTAAATACTACCTCTGACTGGCCCCGCCCCCATCTATTCTCTGCCTCCCGAGTCCCAGCTGATTGGGAGGAAATGGGGATTTTGCAGTAACCTTCCCCTGGAATGGGGTGGGAATGGAGATTTTATAGTATCCTTCCCGTCATGCCCACCAAGCCACGCCCACAGAACCGCTAGGGGAAAAAATTGAATCCCACCACTGGTGCAGTTGGAAAAATAGCAAATGGTATCTGGTTTGTTATGCAAAATGAATATATGTCAAAAGAAGAAAAATGTATGTTTATAAG